GGTTTTTGGATTTTCTTGGTTTGGTTTTCTGTGTTTTTGGGTTTCTGTTCTGGGTTTTGAGTGTTTCTGGTTTGGGTGTTTCTGGTGTTTAGTTTAGTCTTCCCTGTCTTGTGCTCTGTTTCCCCGTGCACTTCCTGTTTTATTTTGATAGTCATGTCACCCCAGTGTCTGAGTTCTAGTTTTGCTTCCTTTTGTTAATCATCCCTGATGTGTCCCACCTGTGTCTGCTTCCCCACCTGTTCTCCATTGTTAATCAGTTCCGTTCCTTTAAAAAGCCCTTGTTCTGTCTTGTCTTTGTGGTATCATTGTTGGTGATGAGGTTTGTTTTGTCGGCGGCATCTGTGGATGTATGGATTTTGGTTTTTTTTGTGAATAAATTCCTTGACACTGGTTCCTCCTCCGCCTCTGAGTCTTTCACCCTCAGCCCTGCCTCATCTGGACCGTGACACTGTGGTCCAACATCCACTGGATGGATTGGCACAAATTTAGTTTCAAATACCCATGGTGCCATGATCATGAATCCTACTGACTTTGTTGATCCCCTGACTTTTCATCTAGTGCCATCACACAATCAAAATTATACATTGTCCAAGAATTTACAAAACCTGCTAAACGTCATGCACGTTAGCATTGTTGTTTTGAGCATGTTAGCATTGTTGTTCTGAGTATGTTAGCACACTGACATATTGTATTTAGCTCAAAGCTCCACTGTGCTGAAGTAAAGCTTCAGAGAGCTGTTAACATGGCATAACATTCTGTCAGATTTCAACTCCATATTCAAAATGAAAAATCTTGATCTGCAATAAACTAGTCAAACAAGTTCTTGATGTGACTGGTGTCATCAAATATGCTATATTTCCCCTCAAACCATGTCTACTGTAGTTTAATTTACTGGCAAACATCTAAGCAACTCATCTCCATGGTGTTGTAGTGACAAATAGAGTTTGCACAGTTGGAAAAAGAGTAAGCAATAAAACACCATCAATAACTACTGTAGAGAACCTGCAGAGAAATTCCCTCAGAGCCACAACTAACCAGCTGCCTCACACTGACTGAGACACTCTCTCATAGTCATGTAGCAGGTACTAAATATAACTGAAACCTTACAACCTCATAAACATCTGGCCATTTATTCCCTACTTGAAGATATAGATGGAAATTTCTCTTTTAAAAATGAGAGAGAGAAAGAAATAACTAGAAGCAGCACACAAGAGATAGGAAGGAAGCCTCGCTTTATAGAAAGTGAAAGTTGGCCCTACTGTATCTTTGTTATTTGAGAATGACTAAATCAAAAGCAACTAAAGCTGTCAGCAAAAGCTACCATGCTCACATCCTGAAATGTAAGAGAGAAACAATAAAGAAGCCAACCATGAACTTAAAGAACTTTTGATACAGATGTGTCTTTCCAGCCACGGCTGCATGCTCAGACAGAGCAGGGCCGGCCTTCTCATTGCAAATGAGCAGCATCAAAACCCACCAACACCTGCTGAACATGGCAGGATGAGGAACCAATCTGTTGTATAGTGTACTGATAAATACCTTCCTACATGTCTTTGCAGGTTTTCTATTGATACACATTGTGCTGGTCCTACACCACAAACTCACAATCTTATTTTAGTCTCTGTGTGGTTGGCAGTCAGTATAACTCTCAGTATACTCTGGTCATGTACTTTTCTAGGACCCTCTGCTTTCTTTGGCTTTATGGTTTAAAACAGGAAATTTCTGTAATGTTTTCATGCACACCTGCCACACAGTTTAACTCTGATGCCCATACTATTTTAGTAGATTATATCAACTGAAGACTCATCTCTTCTGAGAGCACCTTCTCTCCTAACACCTCCAACACCCCAACATGCTGATACTGTTGTATCAACCAAACAATGGCCATGGTATGTGTGCTAAGCAGCTGGAACAAAATGATATCCCCATCTATCAGTGAATATGTACCAGCAATGTTGTAGCCAAAGCATGGCTGTAGGGATGGAAATGTCTCTCGGTCTGTTGATCACTTCGCCCCGACTCAAATATCTCAAAAACTAGTGGAGATTCATGGTCCCCAGAGGATAAATCCTACTGATTTTGAGGATCTTTTCCTTTAGCTCCACCATGAGGTTGACCTTTTAGGTTTTATGTTACACGTCTTCACAATTGTTTCACAGATTTCCATGAAATTTGGTACCGATATCAAAGGTCCCCAGAGGATGAACCCTGGTGACTATGGTGATCCCCTAACTTTTCCCACATAGTGCCTGTAGCAGGTCAGACTTTTCACTTATCCCCTGAAATGTCTTAACAAATATTGGATGAACTGACACAAAATCTGGTACAGACATTCATGGTTTCCACATGATGAATGTTGATGACTTGATGATGATGTCCTGACTCTTCGTCTCATCATATGACATATGTGGTTTTGAGTGATATGTCTCAAGAATTATTGAATGGATTGCCATGAAACTTTGTCTCCATATTCAGCTTCCCATCTGGATGACTTTTTACGTTTGGGGGTCCTTTAACTTTTTCTTTGCCACCATCATAAGGTCAAACTTGTAGTTTGGCCAATGCTTTCATGACCAAATACCTGAAAAAGTAACACCTCAACAAAACCAACAAAGAAACAGCTCAACAAAGAATGCCAAACTGATGGGTGGGGTCATTGTATAGTAATTGCAAATGCTCATGCTTTTTGAATAAGAATTAAAAAGTAAAGATATCAACAGGTATAACATTGTCTTTTAAATAGATATGAGAAG